GAATTCCTATTCTCCCATCCTCAACCAAACTCTATTGTTGTAACATCCTCCTCAAAATCTAAACGAATACACTCTGCACCTTCAGACAGAGAAAGTAAAAAATTGGTTGCCTTTGGCAGACGCTTCTACTGCACCGGAACATTGGGTGTCAAAACCACTAATTATCTGGCCTGCATGAGCAGGTATCAATATACTCTCTGGGAAAGGTTCTTCGAACTATTGACCCACCTCCCAGAAGACAAGCTTCAGGCAACCAGAGTCATTCAGAAGGAGGGCATGGTGTTGGCAAAGCTGCAGATCAACACTTCAAAGCATGCCCTAGATGCATCTTCCAGGACGATGGCCTCTGCTATAGCACTAAAAAAAATCCTGGCTCTCCCTTTGGATACCAGGTCTTACGTTGAAGATCTTCTGTTTGACGGCCTTGGCCTCTTCAACACCACTACTGATTCCACACTCCAAGAATTAGACAAGAGCATAAAGGCTTCTCGAGCTCTAGGAGTGTCACCCTCTGCGAGACAACAATACCGTCCCCGTACCTGGTCACAGTCTTGGCAGAGGCGTGCACCAAGTCGTCTGTCTCCAGACAGACAATGGAGACCGTGTACGTCTTCGGGAGGTCAAAAACCTCCCTACCAAAAATCGAGGTTTGGATCAGGGCAACAATCTTCCCGTATCAAACAAGTCAAACCCTCCAAGCAGAGCTTTTGACTTCCCTGTCACCGAGTCAGTTCAAACCCGTCTATCACCCTTTCTTCATACTTGGCGTCACATCACCTCGGATGAATGGGTGCTGTCCATCTTGACCCAAGGCTACCGTATCCAATTCCACCAGAACCCCATTACTCCTGTCGTTGTCTCCACACCCCCTTCCCCACCTCTCCTGGAAGAGGTGTCCATCCTTCTGCAGAAGGGAGCCATTGAACAAGTACCTCCACGGGACGGGATTTTATTCCCGATACTTCACAGTCACGAAGAGAGATGGAGGTGTTCGACCTATTTTAGATCTAAGGGCACTGAACTGTTTTGTAACCTACCATCGCTTCCACATGGTATCCTTACAGCAGATTATGCCACTCCTACGGAAACACATCTGGATGGCCACCCTCAACCTCCAAGACGCGTCTTTCCACCTCACCATCCGCCACTACCTATGCTTCGCAATTGGTCAACAACATTACCAGTATGCAGCCCTGCCATTCGGCCTGTCCAGCGCCCCAAGAGTCTTCACAAAGACTATGATTGTGGTTCCGGGGTGTCTCCATCTACCCCTTTTGGTAGCGCCTTCCCAGAACGCCCTGGTCTCAAACATCACCAAGACACTGGCACTATTAAAAAACCTGGGCCTACAAGTCAATCGAGAAAAGTCTCAATTGAGTCCAGTCCAAAGAATAAAGTACATCGGTGCTATACTAGATTCCACGACATGCATGGCTTACCTGCCTCAAGACAGAGCGGCAGACATCATTTCCTTAGCCACCATCGTCCGTACCCACCCTTCTGTCACTGCCTTCCAAATCCAAAGGCTGCTTGGCCTTATGGCTGCAACCACGTCGGTTCTCGACTTTGCCAAACTGAAAATGCGTTGTTTATAACTGTGGTTCATCCGGAATTACAACCCAGCGAACAACGTTCACACTGTCGTCCTATCCCCCCCTCCCAACATACGAGACTCGTTACTTTGGTGGACTGTCCCTTCCAATATCTTCCAGGGAGCACCCTTCCACCCTCCGTCACCCCAAATCACCCTGACCATGGATGCTTCCCTGTTGGGATGGGGTGCACACATGATGGGTCTGTGCGTCGGGGGCAAGTGGAACACCCACGAGCAAGGTCGACACATAAACTTCCTGGAACTGCTCACAATTCAGTTCGCGGTCACGAGTTTCCTACCAATAATCAAAGGGAAATGTATTACGGTCCTCACAGACAATACCACTGCGCTCAGTTATATAAACAAACAAGGAGGCACGGTCTCCCTATGTCTCTGCAACCTCGCCATTCAGTTATGGGACTTTTGCATCACCCACGACATCTTTTTGGTAGCCACACACATCCCAGGTCACCTGAATGTGCAGGCAGATCATTTAAGTTGAGCAAGGCTCAGTCTCCACGAGTGGGAGATGAACCCGTCCTATCTTTTCCCGCTTTTCCGCAGGTGGGGAACTCCCCAAGTCGACGTTTTCGCCACCAGAGCCAACAAAAAATGTCCCCTGTTCTGCAGTCGAGGCGGCAGGGACTCACAATCGCTCAGAGACGGTCTCCTTTTTCCCTGGTCCACAGGCCTTCTGTACCTTTTCCCTCCCTTACCCCTGCTTCTGAGAGTGGTACGCAAGATAATCTGAGACGGAGCAGATTGCATGTTGATAGCACCATGGTGGCCGAGACAACCATGGTTCTCGACAGTCCTCGAGTTGTCAAAGGGAATATACCACCAATTCTCTCCGGTACAGGACCTCCTCTTCCTGTCAGACTCCCCTCTCCTACATCACGACGTACCACGCTTGAAATTGACGATGTGCAGGATGTCCGCGCCCACCCCTCTGGGCATGCACGGTGAGGTTCCTGCGCATGCCCGAGGGACTGGGTGCGAAAATCCATTAAAGAGCTTGCTACAATGCCGATCGATCCAGCGCGTGCGCAGTAGGTCCCATGGGTGTGAATGCACAGATGACCACTCGAAGATCATCAGTTACAGGTAAGCAACCTGTTTTTGTATGGTTGGGGTATTTGTGTGTCCTTTTAATATAATGAAAGAGGAATTCCACACAAAAAGGTGTGGGGGAGGCTATGGAAGATAGAACAGCTGCTGGCAAAAACATCAGCCTCAACTCTCTTCCATCTCTCTGTCCCCTGGTGTCATGTAGCTAAAAGAGAATGTATGACATGGCATCACCATTTAAGTTTTCCTGCTGCTCTAGGAAGGGTGGTAAGGTAGCCTGGAGGCCAATGATACCTCTTTATGCAGTTTTTAAAAAAATCTTTGAGGTGTTACTGAGAGAGACAGGAGAAGGAGACACAAGACTGCATTTTTGGCAGAGGCCATGTGTCATGATCTGGCCTGTGCCAGTACGGCCTAGCCAGCCTAAGAGGCCTGGGTGGCAGTAGGAGGCAGCTAGGCCTACAACTCCCAGAAGGCATTGGGAGAGGCTGAGAAGATTCTAAAGAGACCGTTGGAGTCGGTTGGAGAGACAGTCTGGGAGGAGACTGTGATAGTCTGGTGGGAGAAGGAATCTGAGCTGTTCGCTGAGGGAAAAGGGTGTCTTTTGTCTCTCTCTGCGGCCTGATCTTAGTGAGAAGATAGGCTGGGCTGGGAAGAGGAAGATCCCTCCGTCCTTCGTACTCTGCAACCTGATCTTAGTGAGAAGACAGGTTGGTCTGCGAGGAAAGGATCCCTCAGTGTGAGTGTTAGGCAGGCAGGCTGTGGGCCTGGAAGTAAAACAGGAGTAACAGGTAGCTGCGTTAGTTTATGTTTATTTTTCCTTTCACACTGTTATCCCCTTTTGAAGCACCTTGCCGTGTCTTGTTTTCCCTGCCCCACTGTTGTTTTAATAAACCCTTTTTGTGTAATTATTTTCTCTGCCTGGGTCAATCACGCCTGTATTGCTCGGCTGAAAAGGGGCTTGGGAAGGTACCCTGGGCCTCCCAAGGGACCATAAATCCAGGGTGGTGGCGGCGGAACCCAAAGACCCCTCTGGGGTCATGACACCATGTCTCTCCTGTAAGGTGTAGTTTTACTTTGAGAGGATTTGGGGTCAGGACACTTAATATAAAAGGAAAAAGCAGACACCAGTAAAACCTGCAGTTGGATCCAGACTAAAGTTTCTGCTGGTGCAAAGAATTCCGACGATGGAAAGTGATTTTCTTTATTATTTATTTATGTCCTATCTTTCACCCCACTGGGGACCCAGGGTGGCTTACATAATTCTCCTTTCCTCCATTTTATCTTCACATCAACCCTAAGATTGGTTAGGCCAAGACTGTAACTGGCCCAAGGTCACCCAGCAAGCTTCAATAGCATGAGTGGGGATTTGAACCCAGATTTCCCAAATCCTAGTCTGACACTTTAAGCACTACAGCACACTGGCTCTTACCACTTATGGCAGCCTGAAATGCCCTCCAAAATGCTGTTCCAGGGGCAGAGGGGATTCCCTGGGACACAATTTTGGGGGGCATTTCAGGCTGCTGTGAGAGAGGAAAGGCAGGAAAATTGCATTCCGTGAGTGGAAAACCTTGTACCCACAGAAATGTTCAAGAAATATGTAGTCTAGATCCAAGCCATAGTGTTCCACAAGCCAGACCTTCCTCATCATCTTTCTTCATTTGTCAGCTTCCTTTCCACAGGAGGGTTATGTATAGTACATTACTATCTGCTTTTCCAATTATTTATTATCCCTCAAATTTCTACCCCGCCCTCCCAGCCGAGGACAGCTTACATCAAATCAGCAAAAAACATTTAAAACAATACAATAGGCCATTTAAAACAGTATTAAAAACTAGTTAACAATTTCATAATAAGTGCTAGTTTTGTTATTATTGAATCAGTGACAGCTCTCTCTTCCCATAACCAGCTTGTAGGTCTTCTGCAGGTGTCTATCAGGCGGCTGGCACAGGCTATTAATACAAATTCCCGAGACAACAGGGCTTCCTATCCTATTTGTTAGTGGTGGTGGTGGCTCCAAACCCTGGTGGCTCTGTTTACAGGCCCTGTGGAACTGTAAGAGATTCTGTAGGGCCCTGATCTCTTCTGGGAGCTCATTCCACCAGGATGGAGCTGCCACCATGGCTTTGTCAGGCACTTTTTACCACCTGATGATTTTTTAAAATACTGTGTGCTTGTTTGCACCTTGCCTGTGGTTGGTGGCTTCAAAACATTCTGTTTGCTAAATAGCAAGTTTTGCTCCTGTAGGCAGAATACTTGGAGAACATTGTGTTTTTGCTTTAAACAAACAAACTTATTTGAATTTGGTTGTGAACATATCAGATTGCTCTATTTCCAGATTTCCATAGAGAATGATTACTTAGGACCAAGAAGAATTGAGAGTCTACAAAAAGAAGATGCAGATTGGCAGCGGAAGGCCCATATGGCTGTACTTTCTATTCAAGACCTTACTGTGAAGTACTTCGAAATAACAGCTAAAGCACAGAAAGGTAATAGATTTTTGCTTCCCATTTTTACAATCAGATCTCTTGCTTGTATCTTATTACTGTGCTTCTTATCAATGACAGTGGTTCATGTAAATTTCTAGCACCTTTCCTCATTTGTGAGATATCAGCTTTGATATCACCAGTTTGCCTTGAGTTGACAGCAAGTTAAGAAAAGGGGCTTCTGGGTGTGAGCACCATTACTATACATGTCGTCCATTCCTGTATCATTTTTACTTAAACAGTATTAAACAGTCATCAAAACCAAACTATATCATGGGACACTATCCTTCCTATTTTATACAAAAAAAATTAAGTTGGGAAATAAGATTACCCAGCGAGTTTGTTTTTGTTCTACGACGAACCAGTGGTGAGATAGAAACAATAGAGCATGTCTCCTTTACTGCCCTTTTTATCAAATGAATTGCTCAAAGTATATTTCCCCCCTGCTCAATAGAAACCCTGGGTGTTCAAATCCGGGATATGTTAAAATGTTGCTGCTGGGAGAAAACCCACAGGTGACTGCACTTTGTGTGAAATTATGTGCAGCAGCCTGCAAAACTCGACTAAACATTCAAGAAAGTAAGGAAACATAAAGTACAACATAAACTAATAAAATTCATAAAATTATATATGTCTTAAAGGTTAAAATCTTTCTCTCACAATATATCCCTATGTATCATCGGAATGTTATTTACAATTTGTTATAAAACATTTTACAGCTTTTTCTGAAACTTTTAACGATTTTTTGCAAAGACTACAGTATATTTTATTCTGTGTTTCATGCTGGTGTAATACCATAATAAATGACTTTGAACTTTGACTGGAACTTGTGTCTCACCGATCTTTGTCTGCTTCAGATTTACTATTTGACCAAGTAAACACATAGAAGACTGGTCGGAATTAAGCTCCAGGTACAAGGTGATAAGCTGGCTATTTCTTTTTTAACAGCTGTATATGACCGAATGCGAGCAGACCAGAAAAAGTTTGGCAAGGCTGCATGGGCAGCAGCAGTGGAACGGATGGAGAAACTTCAATATGCAGTTTCTAAGGAGACTCTGCAGCTGATGAGAGCAAAAGAAATCAGTTTGGAACAGAAGAAACATGCATTGAAAGAAGAGGTAGTTTTTTAAGAGTAATTTAGCTTTTAACATGAAATCTGAAAGAACAATGGTGCCAAACATACAAAAGCCAAACAGATATAGCTGAAATCTCAGGATAAATATCTACTATATAATATTATTGGCTGTTTTATTTTCAGTTCCCTTCCTAATAATCCCCCAGAGTAGTGTTTGCCTTTTTCACTGCTTGTGGCACACTGGGCTGACACTTTCATTGAGCTATCTACTATAACTCCAAATCTTTTCCCCACTCAGTCACAGTGAGTTCAGACCCTATTAGCATATACTTGAAGTTGGGATTTTTTATTTTAGTGTGCATCACTTTACACTTACCTACACTGAACTTCAGTTTGTGGAGATCCTCCTGGAACTCTTCACAGTCGGCTTGGTTTTCACAATCCCAGATAATTTTTGTCAGCTTCGGACTTGGCCATTACTCTGCTCCCCCCAAGTTCTGGATCGTTTATGAGCAAATTAAATAGTACTGGCCTCAGTACTGGTCTTTGTGGGATCCCACAGCTTCCTTTCCTCCATTGCAAGAACTGTTCATTTATTCCTACTCCCTGCTTCCTGTTGTTTAACCAATTTTATTCCATAAAGGGGTAGGGTTGCCAAGTCGACTCACCCCTCGGAGCGGGGGGAGCCTTGCCGGCGTCCGGGAGGTCTTGATGGACACACGCGCCAGCAGCACGTCGCCAGAAGTGACGTGCGACGTTGCTGACGTTGGGGGCATGGCCGAGCTCGTCGGGGGGAAAACCATATGGTTTCCCCCCCGACGAGCTCAGCCACGCCCCCAACGTCAGCAACGTGGCGGTGACGCAGCTTTGGGGGGCGGGGTTCCCCCCGGGGCCCGATTCTGCCGCAGCGGAAATCAGGCCTCTGAAGCGGGAGATTCCCCGCCCCCCGGCCCCATTTGGCAACCCTATAAAGGGGCCTGTCATTTGCAGGCTATTATATCATTAATTAGCACCTAATATTGTTAAACTATCAGTTTCCTGTACTTAATTGTGTCTCATCATTGGAGGATCTTCATGCCCCTCTCTTCTTGTCCAATAACTGTGCTTTAGCTACTTAGGTTTAAAACTTGAACTACTTTTCAGCATATCCTTTTCAGTCATGTTAACAATTAATCACAACAGGTGTATCAAAATTGCAGAATTTTTGTTTCCTCTCATGCCCAGTTTGCATTATTTCTCACCAGTCAGTGATGGATCATGTATCCTGCTTTGCCAAGGTGAATTCAAATGCCTGATGTATTTGCTTTACTTGATTCTAGAGACATTAAACCATTTTTCTTCATAGCAGAACCATTTTTCCTTTGAAGCACTTGTGCACAAATACTTGAAAGATGGGTATTTACAATGGAAAAGGAACAGTGAAAAGCTTTATTGGAAGCAGACCAGATCCTTTTTTGTAGCTTAGCAGCTGGGTCTTATTATTAACAACCAGAAATACTAAATCATTGGGCACTCTTTGTAGTTTTCTAAATGTACAAAAATTAGCTTGAATATATAGAATGGTGTACTTAGGTTTTTTGGGTTTTTTTAAATGGAAAAGGTGCTTTTATGAACATTGGTTGCTGCTGCTTGCTGTCCCAATTGGCTGCGGCTTCAGAGCCTTTGTTTGTTAAGAAATTGGCCTTATCTATTGTAACTGTTTCCACATGTAGTTTCTTAGATTGGTTTCATTCACTCTCATTGTTATTGTCATCTAAATCTTTGTGGCAGTATCACTCTCACTAGGAAGAAGGTCCATATTTAAAACAACAGAATGGTACTGAAGTTATTGCTGATTGAGAATATAAAGTGCTCACTCAGGAACACTGTTGTCACCTGAATGCTAGATTATAGTGGGTGAGAGTATCTGAATGTCTGTCACTGGGATGCTTCTTTTAAGCTCTTTTCCTGTGTTGCCCTCAGTGAAACAAAAAAGAGAGGGTCATTATACATGGGAGGGAGAGAGCAGTTGTTCTCAGGATGCACCCTCCCTGTATCAGCTCATCCTTATTGAATACAGTTCCAGCCAGCAATCAAGTTCTTTACTATAGAAATAGGATTGTTTGATTTTCATGTGTTAGTTATTATTACTATCATACTGCAGATTGGGAAGGGATGGAGAGAATTCTCCTTTGCCAAAACTGAGTGATTAGTGGCTTGACTAAGATACTTTAGTAGATTCACAATTGTGGCAAGTTTTGAACTTGGCTGGGCCTTTTTGGCACCCTCTTAGCTGATAACTGTACACCAGCTTTCATCTATTTGACAGTCTCTTCTCTATTGTACTGCAACTCATGTTATCTGGTATATTTCTTGATCTTCCATATCAATGTATGGGTTATAGCATCAGTGATAGATCATTCAACTTATAAAGCTGATGCCTTGAATGAATTTTTTGGCCTCTAAATTTCATTGTTAGCATTGTTAGCAAATTTCATTATAATTTAGTTATGTTTAAGTATGAAATATGAATTTTTCTAGATCTATGCTGATACAGAGCGTTGCAAACTGCTTGACCATAAATACCTAAAAGATCATTTTAGACTGCCCTGAGCCTGCTTGCGGGGAGGGCAGGATATAAATCGAAATAAATAAATACTTTTTAGAGGGCTTGGATTTGGAAAAAGCATCTAGGCAAAATTGGCTGACTCTATGAAATCTATTCACCAAGATCTGAATTCTTATATGGGAGAGATCTTGGGAGTTCTATCAGAGTTCGTTCTGCCAAGTGAAATGTAACAGGCATGTAGGCTTGGTGGGTGGAGTGGCTATGTTTTCTTTCTTCTGTGTGTGTCTGGCAAAAGGATGCATGGTTGCAAGGAGGGGGCTCAAACCAACATCTGTGCAGCTCCCTTGTGTGTGTTTATTCTAAGCTGCCAACTGGTTATTTGTTGGTTGTCTTTACTGTATGTAAGGAGATGTGGTGGTCCTATGTCTCTTTAATTTTGGTGCTTTCCTCTTATGCTTTATAACATAACTGTGAGAACTTTCTGGTTTTCATGCTTAATTCTTGTTCACTGTCCGTGTCCATCAATTAATTTCCCCAAGGAAATGAGAAGACTTTAACTACTGTGTTTCCCTTCATAGCCAAAGTAGTTGTTCACTAATTTTCTTTATATTTCGTGATAGTAATTTCATAATTGCAGGATTTCAGTCTTTAAAAAGGAAAGAAAGGAAAGAAAAGTAATGAATGGTTGTTTTTGCTGCAGAGAAAAGCAGTACTCAAAAGTACTTCAGGAATAAGAACTGATCAAGAATTTGTTAAAGAACGTTGTGGCTCTGGAGAGTGAACAAGAAATAATTAATTTGATTGAGAAAGAGAAAGGGCTTTTAAACAAAAAACTAGGAAGACAGAAATATCAGTAGCTCTTTGTTAGTCCACATGTGGATAATTGGCATTGCAGTTGCATTTAAAGGGAAGAAAAATCTCCACCAGTCAGATCTTTAAAAATTTTGGAATGTAATGGATTCTTCTGGAAATGGGTCTGAGTAAAGCAAAATCTTTAGTTCATCAGCGCTTGGTTGATACTGAGGTTCAAACTGATGAAGCGCTTTTACCCAAGATGTATAGTAACCTAAAATCTTGGCCTGGATTTGGAGCAGCACCATATCTCTCTAACATTATATATGAAAAGTATCAGTGGGCTTTTTCTAGAGTGTGTTTTGATGCCTTCCCCTCTAATTTACTGCAAGGAAGGTATCTCCGTTGGCCTATACATCAAAGATGTTGTCTATGTGCAGATAAAGAAGTTGAAACAATCACACACATTCTTTTACATTGTAAGCTCTATTTCAGAGAGAGACACCAGCAGTGTTCCCTCTAAGCTGAGTTAGTGTGAGCCAGCTCACAGTTTTTTAACCTCTGGCTCACACAGTTTTGTCTCAGCTCAGGAAGGACGGCTCCAGAGCAAACTAATGTATGCAGTAGCCAGATCGCTTGCTCACAACTTTCATGCCAGTAGCTCACAAAGTAGAATTTTTGCTCACAAGACTCCACAGCTGAGAGGGAACCTTGGACACCAGCTAATTTTTCCTTTACTTGCCCAATTTAAACCCTTGGACAACTATTTGAAATTTTCAGATACTGTGCTGCTGAAATATTTGTTGGAAGATACCAAGAAGTCGGTAACTCTGGTAGTAGCAAAATATTGTTTTTTAGTAATAAACAAGCGAAAGATTTTAACAAAAAGCACAGACTGAAGAGAATTTTAGACAAGACTTAGAATTTAGGGAATAGAATTACAATTTTAATAGGGGTCTGGGGCTGGTCCTATGATGGTATTATTGTCTGTGAGTGTTGGTGATCGTACTTGTTTATTATTGTGCTGCTTTACTGCACTGCTGGTCAATTGGCTGTAACAATAAATTTTATTTGATTTGAATGTAATGGATTGATGTATATTCCAGGTTAAACTTCTAGTGGTTCATGATGAATCAGATGATTCTGAGCAAGACTTGTATGGAGGTTTTTATTTCTGTGGTGGGAAAATTCAGCTCTGAATGGTGTTTATGTAGTCATGCTCATACTACAGAGATCACACAGTGCATAAGTATACAGTAGAAAGAACTGTGTATACAGTGCTAAGTAAATTATGCAAAAAATTGTAAAAAATTCATTGGTCTGAAGTGAGAATAATACATAAAGAAATGCAAGCACTTTTACAAAAGAGTATAAATCCTAATATTCAATATTCAACTAAGGTTCCAGATTGTTTCTTCATTTTGATATGTCTTCTTCAAGAATCTATATACTAATAGCCAAGGCGCCCCCTGCGTGTGGATATCTAAATCTGCACATTGGGGGCACCTAGGGGGCAAAGAGATTTTCCTGCACATTTGGGGCAATCCCCAGATGTGCAGAAAAATCTGAAATCTATAAAAAACTATAAATCCCCCCAAAAGTAAAAGAGCGTTACCTGCGCATGTGCAGAGAACACTCTGAGAACTGCCTTGCCGCCACAGCCGCCACTGGGGGAGGCAGGAGAAGGCTTGGTGGGCTGGCCACTCAGGCCTCGGCGATGCCACGGGGGGGGGGAGAAAGCTTGGCGGGGCTGACGGCTGGGAGCTGTGTGGGCCTTGCCATTGGTGCCGGGAGAAGGCTTGGCAGGCCCGGTGGGAGCCGCACAGGCCTCGCCATTGGTGCCGGGGTGGGTGGGGGAGAAGGCTTAGTGGGCCGCGCGGGCCTCGCTGTTGGTGCGGGGGGGAGGCCTGGCAGACTCAGCGGGTGCCGCACTGGCCTCACCGTTGGTGCCGGAGGGAAAGGCTTACCTGCGGCTGCTTCCTCCTCCTCCGCGTGGAGCTCCCCCCCTGCAAGTATCACAGGTCCCCCTTCTTGTATGCTTCTATTCCATAAGGACAATGTACATTTGGTTCCTTCAACCAGTACTATTTAGAACTCCGTTTTTTACAGAATTACAGAATTTCTGAGTTGTAGTAATTCAAAAGACGGGTATCCGGTCTTACTTTTTAACATAGTTTATGTAGCTATGCTCTACATGTAACTTACGATATCTCAGAAAGTTTTCCACTTTTTATATGTTCTGGTGGTAACCATAACTTCTTTCCCTGACCCTGCTTAGATGCAGAGTTTACAAGGTGGCACAGAAGCCATTGCACATTTGGACCAACTAGAAGCAGATTATTATGACCTGCAACTTCAGTTATATGAAGTGCAGTTTGAAATCTTGAAGTGTGAAGAACTGCTGCTGACGGCTCAACTTGAAAGTATCAAAAGACTTATTTCAGGTGACATATATTAATTTACATCTGCATTTTAAACAAATGTCACACTACAATTTGGGAATTGAGATTACTTTGGGTTTCATATTCCCCACACCAGCAATAGCAGTAGTCATTATTTTGCTTTTTTTCATCTGAGGCATTACAGATGGCCAGAGTTCAAGACAATACAATGGATGAGGTGGATTTTCACTTCAATTCTAAGCAAGGTTAACTTAAGAATGTGGAGACTCTCTGTATTTGAGTGGGAAACAATTCTTTGGAGCATTGACCTCGGCCATTTGCAATGTGATTCATCTTATTTGCTTCTGCTTTTTGTTTCAGCCAAGCTTTAAATGGACCTTGTTTTTTACTAGATTAGTGTTAGTGTGTGGATGTACCTTTCCTGGTGTAGGGTTAGGTACTCTTCAGGCCACTTTTGGATCTGTCCAGTACTTTCCCCGCGCTGTTTTTCTTATTCTGTCATTCTGTTTTGTTTTGTTTCTAAATATTTGTATTAAAGATATTTTTCTGGTATAAAAATATAATAAAATGGGCAAGGGGTTGTAGAGGGTTTGACCACAGAAAAAATGAGAAGTAATAATCAGAAACAGAATATTTCATAGTAATCAGACCTTTTTCTTTGAGATGTTACTCTGTTTTTCACAACTGAAAGTTCTCCAGATCGTACATTAACATTGCTTGAGTGTAGGTATGTGGGTTTAAAATAATTAAAATTGTTAGTATTTTCTAACAGAGAAAAGAGATGAAGTAGTATATTACGATACATATGAAAGTATGGAGGCTATGCTTGAAAAGGAAGATATGGCAACATCTATACACTTGCAAAGAGAAGAATTACAGAAATTGCAACAGAAAGTTCGGCAGCTAGAAGCAAGGCGTGGGCGAATTTCAGCCAAGAAAGCCTACCTCAGAAACAAAAAGGTAAAGCAAGTTTTATTTATTTATTTATTGGATTTCTAGACCACCCTCCCCTGTGTACAGGGCTCATTTAGCTTGCTTACAGCAAAAACTTCCAAGCTGTTAACTGTAAAATCCAGTGTAGTAGTAATCATCACCGAACCAAATGACAATCATATTTCTATACAAACAAGGAAATCCAAGTAATATTCACTGCACACCAACTGCTTGCAGACTTTGCTGAAGGCAAGCAGGGATGGTATGTGAATGACCAGAGAGAAAGCTCTGGATCACCACTAAAAATGAGAGTGAACCACCTGATATAGGGCACAGTCAGGAAGGTACGAAGGACCTTAACTTGTGCTTGGGGGGCCCAGGGTATAAACAGATTTACAGATAAGCACCTGCATTTTGAATTAGCTCTGGAAGCAAATAAGCAATTAATACAGCTGGTTGAGAACTGATACAGTATGTTGTAACATCTTTTACCAATGAGAATCCTACTCAGTTGCTGGTGAACATGGGCATTGCATCTACACAGACAGTAAATAGAGGTCACCTGTATAAGCACTATATTTTAAAAACAAAAAGACCTCTTTGCATGGTAAATATTATGACTGGGATAACTGAGCTCTTCTGATAAGTACTGTATTGCATTTTTGTTTATGATAAGTACTACATTCTATCAGTATTGCAGATTTTGGTAAAGAAAAGCAAGGCAGGTTCCTGCATGTTGAAAGTTAGCATATCAGGAAAACGACCAGATTAATTGCCTGCCCTTAACATATTAGTTTTGCATGGTCAGGGAGTTATTTTTATGTGAGGCAATGTATTATTTGAATAGATCCAAAAACAGATAATGAAGAACTGGCATACTGTAGATACTGGCTTGGATCCATTTAAACATTTCTACAGACAGAACAGTTTCTGCCTGTGGAGTGTGGCTTTATTACCTCCCCCCTTCTGTTACAGCCCTAAATGCCCCTAAAGAGCAGCATTTTGGGGAGCATTATCAGCTGCAACAGGAGGGGGAAAAGGCAAGAAAGTCACATTTCATGGACAGCTATCATTCTATCCAGGGAAACCCACCAGTGGGTCCAAGCCATTAAGTGAAGAAAACATGAAATTCAGCATATAAGAGAGAGAAGATGGAGGAAGGTATGTAGTAGCAATAGCAGGGAGGAAGAAGGAAACTAACATACCACTTCCATGAGGGAAAGGGAAGGAATTCCATCCCAACCATGAGGCTTGTTAGTACTCACCACATGATTCTCTTCCATCCCAATGTGAATCTCCTTACTATGCTTCATGGACCTAAAATCTGCCTGGTGGAATGGAGAACACAGTACTTTCAAAACTATAGTTAGAATGGTGGTGTTAACATAGAGTAGCCATCTTACAATTTAAGTATTTATTGAGTAAAGAAGCTTTTCCTTTTGTCAGTCCTGAACCTATTGCCCATCAGTTTCATTGGGTGCTACTGAGTGCTAAGAAAAAACTATATCCACTTTTCCCATCCCATGCATAATTTTATAAACTCTTTATCACATCCATAACATGGTGCCTAGATTTTCTTCTGTACGTGTTTATTTATTTATTTTATTTCATTTATATCCCGCCCTCCCCGCATGCAGGCTCAGGGCGGCTTGCATGGTACCACAGTACAGTACATAACACATTAAAAAGTTAGGCACACAAGTGCAATAAAATTACATAATCCACTTAAGACACAATTCGATCTTACCGGATGCATCAATAAATAAACATACCCACTCGTTACTTTAACTGCCCGTGAGGCCAACAGAACCGGGGGGGGGGGGGGGGGGCGATACGCCAAAAGTGTTGCCTGCTTTGTTACAGTTATTCATTTATTGTATTACTTTTGTTAGTTATAGGTTTTAATTCTTTGTCAAGTATTGTTTTAATAACTAATAACAGGTTGCATTGCCTTCCTGACAAGATCTTTGTTGCCATGTAGCAGCTTGATACTGGTTCAGAATGTAAACATAGTTTAGTTATCCCAGTACTACCACCTACTGGCTACACAACAGTGTTATTAATGTGACTAGACCAAACAACTATTGTATTATGAAAGATGGTATTGTAAAGACAAATTGGTGATAAGAGAAAGGAGATGCTCAAAAAGATGAAAAGATGAAAGCTATGTTTTGGTACAATATCATAATTGAAAATTAGATAAATGTTTTGAATAAGATAGCACAAGAGTAATTTGTCCTGTTTACAATAACAACATTCATGGCAATAAATTTCTGCCTGAATTTATTTCTTACTGCAGTAGTAGGGTGGTGGATCCTACCCCTATCCTACCACTCCAAAGTTTATTAAATTTTTAATGTATCTACTGAAAAGAGCCACTTGAGTTGGAGGAAGTTTTGAGTTGGAGATACTTGGATCCACCCAAATATATTTACTATTATTTGTCCATTCCAGTTTCTGCCGGTTTATGTTAAAGGTTTTTTCGTTTGATGGGACACTCAAACCAATGTTGAATTATATCTGATGTGCTGATGTCAGCATGGCACTGGCATTGCCAGTTAGTATCCTATGGCTGTTCTGCAGAAAGGAAATAAGTGATACAAAGAACCCTCACCATGGCTTAAACAGCATCCTGATTACACCAGAGTGCATAGCAACCTCACCAACATCCAGCAATCACAGCAGCAAGCTGCCAGCACAGAGATGCAACCGACTGCCTTCCACTTATGTAGTCAAGGTTCCCTGATTTCACACAGCCACCACACAAGTGTGGAACACCAGAAGGTGGGAAAGGACACCAGCTGGCCCCTTTGCTCACTTTGTAGTTCTGTTTTCATGGTCCTCTATGGGTTACCTCTGAGGTATATCGGAGGACGGAGGGATTCAAGAAGCCAACCAATTCCTTATCTCCCATGGTACAACCTCCACGTTGCCCCCGTCTGCACTGCCATAGGACTTACCCAACTTGCCACTGATATTTATTTATTTATTATCAAATTTGTACCCCGCCCTCCCCACAAAGCAGGCTCAGGTGTAACTTGGATGTAACTTAGTTATCATCCTGTGCCCTTTCAAGCCAGCACTTTGGATGGAGCTATTAGTGGGCAGTAGTGAAATGAAAGCAAATAAGCAAATACAACTTTATATTTCTCATTTCATTACATTTAATACAACAGAATGAGGATTTTAAATAAGATGAAAAAGCACTAAGATTATTATGGATTGGACCCAACAGTACCCTACTATGTTGGAAAATGCATATATTTAAGCATAAAACATAGAAAAATGTATCCGAAATTAGTTGTTAGTGCAAATACACATAAGAATGCCTTTGCAAAATGGTAGCATGAATAGAATGTTATATATAGCTGCATAAACGTTCAAATTCCTCTGCACTTCTGTAGTAATTACTTACGTGTACAATTTAGCTTTTTCTGTTTACACAGCAATAATAGTTTATATATGTGTTCTTAATGGACATGCGGTTTATTTTGCGAAAGGGAGGTCTAGTTCATCTATGTTCTCTTAGAATATTCTATTGGTCTCCTCACCTCGAATTACGTTGTATTTATGAGCTTTGTAATAAATGGAAAATCATCACTAATAAAGCATTACAACATTTAACATACTTTATGTTGATTTCTCTTTTTAAATTCATTTTTTTAATTTATCAATTTCTGCCTCTTTGATCTAGGGCTATTAAATCCTTTTCCAAATCTTGACTTTATATTTTATGGATAATCTTTATTCCTTACAGGAAATCTGCATTGCAAAACATAATGAAAAATTCCTGGAGCACCTTCAAAGTGAAGAGCAGTCAAGTGCCCATCATGCTGGGAAGTTTGTGAGTTTGGTCTATGTTAAAATTAAAAGGAGCCTTCAGTTAATTATTCCTGTCTCTCTTTCAGGGCTGGCCTGAGCTTTCTTGCTGAGCTAGGGAATAAAAATACCCCTTCCCCAATTGCGTTGTGTCATGGCTGATCCTGCATTGAGCAGGAGGTTGAACTAGATGGCCTGTATGACCCCTTCCAACTCTGTGATTCTATTCTGTGTGCTGAGCAGCATAACAATAGCAGATTAAATGATCCAACAGTTGACTGGAATACTCTTTTCTTTCTTTAACTTTTAATTTCGACTTTTCATTCTTTTCTGCTCCCTGTCAATTTATACTAAATGCTGTCTCCAGATTTCTGGGCACCATCACTTACCTAGATTAGAATCTCCATTTCCCCTGAAAATATGCATTGAAAAAGTGGATACTTTCTAAAATGCAGGCAACTTCTCTCTTTCCCCAGGGCACTGACACAACGGAGCATGTGCCTAGACTTTGGCACTCAGGTGGCTGCTTAGTTTGCATCCGTCATTGAGTTGATGGAAATTAGAGCAGTGTTTGATATTTGCAAGCGAATTTTAAGGTTAATTGATTTGCATAGCAGTTTAAACTTAAATGGGTTCAATTCAAAGGACTGCAAGTAGAGCTCTGCTTACAGAACTGAACTAAGCAAGGCCGACCCTAGCAAGTACTTGGAAGGGAGACCTCCAAGGAATACCAAGGCTCTGATGAAAAGGCAGGCAATATCAAGCCACCTCTCTGAAACATCCAAGCCCCACTAAGAAGTTGCCAGAAATCAACCATGACTTCCAGGCATACAAACACACAAAAATGCACACACACAAAAAGAATTGATTTTCCCTGCCTTTTTCTCTGCAGTGTAATTCCCTGCATTACTTGAAAAGCAGCTTTTAGGGTTTGGGGACCCTCAGGAGCAGATGCCGGTATGCAACCGTATGTGGACAGAAAGCTGATGATTCTGCAGTTCCTTCTAATTCCCAGAATGATCATTCCTGAGGCTGGTAGACCTGTGCAGGGGAATAACTATTTGGAAGGAGCGGGAAAGGGTGAAATCCTCCCTTTTGTGTCTTCTGCAAGCACAGCTCCTCTGATGGAAGAGAAAGGAGGGGGCAACTTCATCCCCTTCTCACTCCTCACTATGTGAGGATGCTGTGGCCCCAAGAATGATCATTCTCTGTGCTCAAAGGGTTGTTGTAACGGAGAGGAGTGAGTGCAGGAACAATCTTTGCACCTTCCATGCACACATGGACAGGCACCTCACAGGTGTCTGTTGTGGGGAGGGGAAGGGAAAGGAGTTTGTAAGCCACTCTGAGATTCCAAGTGAAGGGTGGGATATAAAGCCAATCTCTCCTCCTCCTCGTTATTACACTAACTCCAGATAATTTGTTGCCAACAAGTAAGTATTCCTGCCATTCAATAAGGTCTTTTTAAACTTTGAGGAGAGAGACTTTCTTTTCAGGTTCTGCTTTAACACTCATGCATAGGTTTCTGAGTTTCACTGACACTTCCAAGTTTAGAAGGTGGGAACATTCAACCCAGTTCCCCAAATCCTTCTTCCTACACAGACCAGGGATCTGACCTATGAGGAGTCCTGGTATTAAGAACATGAGAGAAGCCAATGTTGGATCAGGTCAAAGGCCCATCCAGTCCAACACTCTGTCACACAGTGGCCAAAAATACCAGGTGCCATCAGGAGGTCCAGCAGTGGGGCCAGGACACTAGAAGCCCTCCCACTGTTGCCCCCCCCCAAGCACCAAGAATACAGAGCATCACTTGCCCCAGAGTCCCTATCTATACCTTGTGGCTAATAGCCACTGATGGACCTCTGTGCCATGTTTAATAAGAACGTAAGAGAAGATGAGCTTGGTGTGACTCCAGTTACCATCAGTCCAGCTTCTAGGGGGTGTGAACTGATATATTCAATTTGCCATCTTTTAATTGTTTAATGGTTTTAGCTGCTTTAAGAATTAATTATATTACCTAGTTTTAATTGTTCATGCGCTTTGTTATCTGCCCTGAGCCCAATTTGAAAAATGTGTAATATAAATTTAGCTAATAAAATAACAAAAATAAAATAAATCACTCCTCTCTTGACAGCTATCCCTCTTTTCTCTGAGCTGAGAATACTTCTGTTAACTAGAAACAATTTCCATTTTCAGCTTGAATAAGGATGCTCTCTGATCCTTACTCCTTTTGCCTCTTTTCTCATCCACCATCAGTGCTTAACTGTCTCTTCTTCAACTGAGAGTTCCCAACTGTCATTTCTTGGCTCCCCCCCCCCCAAATTCCCTTTGAACAGCCTGTCACTCAAAGGTTCTCAGAACGTTAACCTTTGATAGTCCGTCACAATTAACTTACTGGCAGAATCAATTATACTCTTACTGATCCCAAGAATAATTTAAATGTGCATGAAACAGTGGTTAAAGAGAACTGGCTGGATCCAGACAGCTATTTCATGCAGTCTTACCCAGTTCTCCTCCTTACTCTAGACCCTCAATCCACATGGCTTTTGTTCATGAAGGCCCCATGACCCATAGCATAGCCAGTTCGCTTGGTCAGAGTCAATCCTGCTTCCTTTTTTGCCAACAGAAAAACGGGTTGTATTTGACAGATTTCTGTTTGTGTTTGGCTTGCTCATTGCAACTTTTATTCTTAGAGGTGATCTGAGTGTTCTTCTTCCAGATGTTGATAATCATGCTGTTGAAAGTAGTATTTTTTTTGGGGGGGGGGAATCCTGCTGTTATTTCTTGCAGTCTTTTCATCTCGAGTGATCTGGCTCTTTCTCCTGCCTCTTGAAAAAGCAGGGGCAAGGAGTAAGCTTAGCTTGTGCTTCATTGAGCCAAGGGAAAGAATGCAGTGCTGTGGGAAAATAATTCCATCCACATTTCAGTATCCTGCTCTGTTCTTCTATCTTCTGTTTACATTTTTTGTTTTTTATATTCAGAAGAGAGAGCGTTTGCAAGATGAGGAAGAAAGAAAAAGCTCATGGGTTAGTCAAGAACGGCAGAAAACACTGGATAGACTTCGAACATTTAAGCAGGTAACTAGGCAAAAGTGGACATTTTTTATGCTTATGCATCAATAAATGTACAATAATATGGCATTAGCACATTACTGCTGTGTAATATGTGAAGCAACCCTTATCACTTATTAATAAGAGAGTCTTTAGTTGTGGAACTGTAAAGGATGTTTCGTTCTTTAGTTATTGCACTTTATGCTGCATGTAGCCCCTGAGGCAGCATTGCCTCCGTTGCTTTCCGGAAGACATATAGAAATCTCAGATTTTGTATTCTAGCCCATGGGGTCGTTTCAGATAATCTTAGAAACATAAGGGCACTACAAAGGCTCAGGTCCCCACATTATATATCTCAGTTCGCAGCTTATCTGACAATTTTGCTGGGGTTAATTATGATTGTCAGCTTTTGCAGAGAGTATTAATGTCTCTTTATCATGCATCTTATGTTAATTCTGCAGAAATACAAAGTGCATGTCAGAGCCTTTAAACTTTCATGATTCTCCTTCATGGACTGAGGTATATTTATTTTGCTTCCTCCTCCAGAGAGGTTCATTATTTGAAGGTTTCCAGTTTAAGCATAAATTGATCTAATGTTAATCTCTGCATGTCAGTGCCCATAGTCCTCTTTGATAGTCCTCCTGGTGTTTTTAGATATGGTATAATATTGAATTGCTTTCCCATTGAAGCTTTGTGGAACAAAACATTAAAATGAAGCATGTAGTTCCATAAGTACGTTGTATGCTTGCCTAATTTTTAATTTGTGTCTTTCCCCTAAGCGTTACCCTGGTCAGGTAATACTCAAATCAACCAGACTCCGACCGGCCCACTCAAGAAGAAGAAGTACAGCCAGTTCGATATCTTGTGCTGATCATCCCCTGTCTTTACCAGTAACCACACAGACTGATGAGAGACCCCAAGAAGTGGGGCCAGAAAAAGTAACCCAACCCTTACAAATCCATGAGCCTAAGAATTTAGGAGAATCTGAAAATACTTCTTTACCTCCCTGTGGCGTTACCTCTGAATTTTCTCAAACTATATCTCTTCCGGCTGAACTTAACCCAGATATAATCAGCGAGGCACCACTTCCTCCTCCGCTGCCGCCGCCACCACCACCACCTTTGCCCACCAAGGAACAATCTACTCAATGCTCTGAAAAAAGCAGTAGCCCTGTTAAACAGGACAGCATGGAGAAGCCAACCCTAATGAGCACCATTGCACCATCAGCTCATTTCTTTGATAGCAGTCAGTTAGTCAGTGCCAAGAAGAAGCTAAAGAAGACTGGTGATTTAGAAGGACTACAGAGGAGAAGAGGTAGTTCTTCATTTTTATTTGTTTGTTGGCTGTAGTTCTACTGAATATGATTAACTGAAAATAAAAAGCAGTGATAGGTTTGCTCCTGTGTTGAAGTTGGTTTTGAGTGATAACTAAAAATAATGGCCAGGAGTTAAGATACTAAAACAAGTAGTTCTGCACAGTAGTTCCACATGCTAAGGAAAGCTGAGGACTTGTATGTCTTGAACAGCATTACCACAGCATTTTGTATTATCCAGATTCTACCCTGGTTTCACTTTCCTAAAGTGAATCCTGCTTCTGATCTCCAAGCTCCTTTTTTCACTCAGGTCTCTGCTCCAGCCACAAGACCAAGGGAACCAAGGAGTTCCGACTCCAGCCTCCTTCCTAAAAAAACCCAGGCATCCTGGCTCTGCTTGCTGAGACCTGCCTGACAAAGGGAACCCAGAAGTCCCGTCTCCAGCCCCTCTCCCCTTTCCCCCTTTGTTCCCTCCCCGCCCACGGCTTTGGGTCATCCCCTTTCACCATGCACATTGCCAGCCAGCTCTCCCCATTTTGGCGTGCCCCAAGTCTGGCTCTGCTACCTGAGCCAGGGCACCTCCAGCGCGGCTCTGCTTTAATGCTCCGGCAGCGGCAGCTTCACCTTGGGCCCTGCGGCTCCCATCATGCCCTGCCCTGCTCGGCCCTGATTGCTGCTTGGCTTCACCCGGCCTTGCCTGCCATTTGAGCCCTTCTTGCCTTGCATTGCCTTGCCCTAGAGGTGGCCACCAGGTTGATTCCCAGGCTCCGCTGGACAGGCTATTGTTAGTCCCCCCTCCACAGGGCGGGCACTGGCTACAATCTCTATCCATCACTGTCAAAAGGAAGGGAAAGCTGGCTTGGGACAGCCCCTCACCCAACGGAAGAGAGGGGAGACGGAAGGGGAGGCTGGCCAGGGCTCCATCCACATCAGACCCAGCTCGCTTCCTCTGGGCTCAGTGCAGTCCAGATGCAATGGGAGTAGAGCTGCTATGGTGCCTTTGACCCAGCTGCAGTGGGGCTCTGCGCCTAAAGTCCCACTGTTGGCTATGGCCCTGACATGGAGGACTTCTGTTTAAAACAAGAAACAAATCTTGGGCACACCTAAAATAGCTATCTGAATGTTGGCCAGTGGAATCCATCAACATTCTGGGGATTTGTACTATGGTATTTAAGTATTTTGTTAATTTAGATAGCTCTGATATCATGTTAAGAAAAGCGAGTGTGGGGGCCACAAATCTTGACGGGAGAATCCCATCCCCACCCCCCATCGTCGAGCTGATGTGGCTCCAGGCCTCTACTCACCTTTGAGCCCAGCTGCAGCAGCGTCTGGGAGCAGCTCCGAGCCCTGACGGCTCCCAGAGTCTGCTGCTGCTGGGCCTGAAGTGGCTCCCAGAGTTTGCCACTGCCAGTTCTGCAGAACCAAGGTAAGTGCATTGTCTGCATGTGCACAGACAATGCTCTTTTACTTGGGGGGGGGATTTAAACCCCCAATATTTTTTAAGGTTTCAGATTTTTCTACAAACCTTGGAGATCTCCCATCTTTGTAGGAAAATCTGTAGTGTCATTTGGCCCTGATCTGCAGATTTAGATACCTGCCAATGGGGGCCATACATCACTTATTAGATGCATAGATATTGTCATTGAGGATTGATGTACTCCAGATAAGAGAACTACATGGAGAACAAGCTGGTGAAATGCATCTAGTTTTTCTTAATATATGTTACCTTTTGTTTTGAAAAGTATTGCTTGTTAACCAGGGATCAGCATTCTGATAACCCCAGATTAAAAAAAGCTCCTGATCTTGTGGCTGTGAGGATAGATTTGAAATGTGAACAGTGTTTGAACAACACTTCTGAAATCTTGAGAGGTCATGGAGGATGAGGGGAAGTTTTTCAGGATTTGAAGTTGTTTCTAAAAGTTAGAACTTCAATACTCTGAATATTTTCTCACTCTTAAAGTGCAGTGTATTTAATGCAAAGATTGCCATTCCACTTGTGGAAGGCTTGTTTTACTCTTCATGCAAGAACATTGTGCAGTAAAGGTGAAATTTAATCCAGTGATTAAATTTGTACAATTATTTATTAAAAATACAAAATAAAAAGCATCACTTTTGTTTGTTCAGAAGGTTGAACAACAGCTTGCACATCCTCTTGCCATGGCTAAGTGGGAGAGAATCTGTTCAGCACATATAAGGTCCTAGGCTCAATCCCTGGCATCATCTCCAGTTAAAGTAGTGGATCATGTGATGGCACTGGTATTTCTGGCCACTGTGTGACACAGAGTGTTGGACTGGATGGGCCTTTGGCCTGATCCAACATTGGCGTCTCTTATGTTCTTATGTGACAGATCTCCACCTGAGACCCTGGAAAGCCGCTGCCAGTCTGAGCAGACAGTGCTGACTTTGATGGACCAAGGGTCTGATTCAGTATAAGGCAGCTTCATGTGTTCAAAGTGTTTTAGAACCTACCTGTTGATAGCACTGCATGAACTGTTGTGCAAGCTGCTGCAAAAGCATTTGGGCAAGGGACTACTAGCTATTTTCCTTTGAGTCATTTCTTTGCATCTGATCCAGAAAGTCTACTGACCTATCTGTACATGGTGGTGGCTTAGCAGATAGGGACTTTTAAGTGAACAGAAATGAATCTTAAAAATTAAAGACAGAGTCTAGCTCCCTCCCCTACATAAGAAGGAAGTTAGTGAAGGAGTATAGCCACTAGTATGGTCCACCATGTAAGTGGAAATGGATAAAGAGAGAGGCTTGACTGACCTCCTAAAATACTTACCTCTCACAAGAGAATATTAAGGAGACGCTCGTTCACATTGAACAGCACTGTCTTAACATAGAAAGTTGAGATATTTACCGGGGAGATTGTCAGATGAAGAGAAAACAGCCTCCACTTGAATTTTTGAATCCTCTTGTGTTGTTTTTCATCTTTCTCCTCCTGGGTGACTGTGATCCGTACATCAAGTTGCAGATTCGATGCTAGAATTGTAGAGATTTATTTATTATTTATTTATAAATTCAATTTATAGCTCGCCCAGATGGTACATCTACTCAATGCTCTCAGCTCGACGCGACACTGCTGATCTCCCTTCCCAGGGCCAGACACTACTGATGGAACATAACGATGGTACGGTAGTGGTGGCGGCTCCTACTTGAAAGCCTGGCAGAAGAGCTCCGTCTTACAGGCCCTGCGGAACTACACAAGGTCCCGCAGGGCCCAGATCTCCTCTGGGAGCTCGTTCCACCAGGCAGGAGCCGCCACTGAGAAAGCTCTGGCCCTGGTAGCAGCCAGCCTGGCCTCCTTGGGGCCTGGTATCACCAGGAGATGCTGTGCCCCTGACCGTAGTGCCCATGGGGGAACATATGGGGAAAGGCGGTCCCTTAGGTATGTTGGACCCCAGCAACAAATGAAGCTATGTAATACTTGACAGCTTTTATTTGTGCCATGCAAATTGGAAAGGTTACCTTGCAAAGTCTATCCACTGATAGTGGTGCTTGGTTTTTGGTGACCAACAAATATGATAGTGTGCATTGTATGGCTGCTTTAGTCAGAAGTGGAATATAAATTTAGAAAAAGTAATGTAAAGGCTAAAGATTGCAAGTTACAATAGATTATAATGGGAAACTCAAGGATATCCTCTCCCATTCTTAAAATAAAAAACGCTGGTGGTTTCTGTAAAGTTATGCTTTTCCCAGTGCATGCTTAATAAATAAATTCTGTAACATAGAGCATAAAAAAACTGAAGCTACAATATGTTGAAATACCCTAAACAACCCCTCTGATTTACTGCAGTGAGTTCACCAATGGATGAGGTATTGGCTTCTTTGAAGCGTGGAAGCTTCCACCTGAGGAAGGTTGAGCAGAGAAACCTTCCTCCTTACCCAGATGAAGATGACAGCAATAACATCCTAGCACAGATAAGAAAAGGGGTGAAACTGAAGAAGGTGCAAAAGGATCTGATGCGGGAGTCATTCACAATTCTGCCTGACGATGATCCTTTGACGCGCAGCATCCATGAAGCGCTACGGCGAATTAAGGAGGCATCACCAGAGTCTGAAGACGAGGAGGAAAATCTCCCTTGTACGGACTGGGAAAATTAAGGTGTAATGTTCCTACTTTTAATACAGATTTTGTTTCTCCAAGCTAGTAACAGCCTTGGTAGGAATAGGCATAAGCTGTCCAATATATATGCTGTGAGAGAAGAACACCTGTGGTTTAAGATCCACATTGCAAAATGTATGCATGTATGCTCAAAATAAAAGGAACATTTTATCTGGGATGTTTATAATAGCATTAAACTGAAATGCAGAATGACTTTACTCAAAGTTAAGTGTTAGAAATAAAAGGGGCTTATTATTTCCAAGCTCAAGCTATAAGTCAGTACTCTACAGTAGAACACTTCAGCTATACAGAAGCCTTCCAAGTACCACGATTGGGGAGAAAACCCCCCTGAATGCATCACTGAAATGCATACCTGGAAAGACTTGTATAGGTACGATTTGTTGAAAGTTATGCCTACCTCACTTCTTGCTCTTCTAAGACTCAGGCACACCCTTACAGTAGGGATGCCTCTGTTGCTTCCTCCTTATGGTCATCAAGATGTGACAGGGATACATGGGGATCTTGTTCTGATCTGGAGATCTGGGAGCTCTCGGATGTGTGCACTGATCTTTTATCTGTACAGGGTCCCCATTTGGTTTGAGAAGTAAAGGCAATAGATGTACAGAGTTATACCTTTCTAAGCCCACTGACTTCTATAGATTTACAATGGGGATTGGCCCATTATTCCATTTTTCCAGTTAGAGAAGAGAGATATGAGGATGCACTTGATTATTGCATAATTGATACAAAATGTCTGAACTGCAGTTAGGTTATAAGGAATTTGGGAATATAAGTACTTCATTGAGTAGAAACTAGGATTTTTTTAATTTCTAAAAATCTACTGCAAGTGCAGAACTGTGCAGTCCCTCTCACCCTTATCGAGCATTTATGGGGAACAAATAGTTTTAAAACTTATTCAAAAATAATTCCTTACAGACAGTACATTTTACTCTTTCTTCTTTAAGACCTTTGTCCTGGTAGAGGATGCATTTTCATTGTTGCTGGAAGTTTTTGTGGAAGGGCTCTTAGTAAGCAAATCTTGACTATGATGAAGAATAGACTTTGGGAAAGACCATGATTGTGGCTTGGTAAAACTTTAGTAAAAATTGTGTGAATGTGTTAATCTGATTTCAGAGTTGCAGGTTGAAACATGTGTTGTATTAATCAAATCTAAGATTTGTTCTCATCATAGTTGTTATCCATTTGACAGAGATGACCCCACTTAATTAACATATGAATTAGCATGCCAGTAACTAATTGCAAGTAAATTTAATCAAAATGAAGGTCACATTCAATATCTGCAAGGCAAGTGTTCCAGTAAGGGGAAATTAATTTAGTACTGTAGTCCATTTAAAGTATGAAATTATTAATTTACGCTGTAAAAGCAAGCTGTAGAGCTAAATACAAGTGCAAAGGAAAATAGTTAAAAATTAAAACTACGAGAGTTGTCCCAAACTGTAGGTCCTTATGCACACCTGCCAGAAAGTCGTTTCAAGACATTTTGTCTCTCCAAGCAAAAATCCTGTCTTTCCAGTTACTTCCTGGGGGATTTCATGGGTATATGAAAAAAAAAATAACATGCAGTATCCTGGGATATAGAGTCAGTCAGTATTATCTTATTGTAGATGAGAGATAGTGACCTGTGTTTACACCATCTTCTCAAGTCACATAAAGCAGCTACAGTAGAACAGTTTTCTAAATTACCAGGGTCCCCCAGTTGTAAGCCACAGTTAAGTGTGTGCTCAAAACTGCAAAATCTGATTCAAAATTGATTTTTCATCAAGGACAGCAAGCAAGCTAGAAAATTCTAGGAATCTTGCAGTATCATTTATCCAAAGTTATCAGCCTCTGATTTGCTTGTACATTCAAGAAGTAAACCATGAAGTCTTGAAAGTCAGCAACTTTGACCCACTATCCATTTCATCCCAAGAGAATGATCTTATAAAATATAGATGTTATTCTGTATGAGAAGACTTCACGTTAGTTGTGGTGAATTAGTAGAACCCTGGAACATTTGCACAGTCTTTAGAATTAGTATAGTAGTGTCAGGCAAGTCAGTATTCCTCATGCTCTCATCACTTTTCTGAGGAAATAATATTGTTTGCTTTACATAATTGGTATACAGATCACCGAATGAATGCAAATAGTTTTTAAAACTCCCAATGACATACCTCTAATACAATCTGATATCAGAAAATGCTTTAAGTGGCCATCTGTATTCAGTCAAAGGCTGCATTCACATGATGAAAACTCTGTTTCCCTGTCATCACCACAGCAAATGCAAAGGTATTCACACTGGCAGCAGAGCCATCCACATTGGAGTTTCATGCAAGCCTCCTTTGGCCAGCTACCATTTTCCCTATACTTTTCCTTGATGCCGGTGGGACTGTCAAAATTGTGGACCTTCCCATACTACCACACAAGTTGAAACCCCAGCACCTTTGTTTCTTAAAAATTAAGCACTGGTCCCACCAGCAAAGTACAGGTAGGGAACAGATACATAATGCGCTCTCCTCTAAAATCTATTCCTCATTGTATGATTTTTTTTCTTTTTTGTGAGAAGTGTTATCTGCACAGGCACATGAGCGGAACCTGTGCTGTGCACAAAATGTTCTAGAGCTAAGCCTGGAACAAGTTTGATAGCCAGGTTTGAGGTCTTCTTTGGAAGACCGTATGTGTGTATGCCTAGGGGGGTGGAGCTGTGCTGTTCTTTTCAGTTCTTCAATTGCTACACCAGCAGCATTGTTGGGAGTTTTCAGTTCCATCTTGCAAGCTATTTTTTTCAAAAATCTCTTTTCTTTCTCCCATTTTCTGGCTTTCTTATTCTTTCTGTGGTCTGCACTTAAAAAGTGCCTGAGGCAAGCAGCCCATCTTAGACAGCTATGATCAATGTTTTCTTTTCCTGGGTAAGGGATACAAATTAGAGTCCTGCACACAGTGCCAGTGCTTCATTGAACAGATTCGCTACAATCACTCTGTTCATTTCAGAATTACCTTTTGGGAGTATGCTTTACTAGCATCGGATTTGATGGCCCACAGTATGGACTATCTCCATACCAGGTATACCCACCTATTTGGTCGTGATGCCTTCACTGACTCTGGTTACATTCAGGCCTTTAAACACTGGAGCTTTGATTCATCTGCAGCCCAGCCAGAGCCATAAAACCTTAAGTCCAAGTAACACCCTCACATCTTTTTGGAAATGGAGAAAAAGAAGGCTCAGGACCCAGTGGTGGAACTGCAGTCTGGATTTTACCTGTCTTTCCACCAGTCACGTCTTTGGGATTCTGCATTGTCATTCTGACAGCTCTGGCATCACCTTTGACTTATTTGGCTCAGACCCTTTCATCACCATTTCACTTTCAAAATATTCTTTGCATCCAGTCTTGAAAACTAAGCAGAGGGCCTTCCTTATTCTTCCAAGAAACCCACTTTTAGAAGTTTATAATACATATATAAAGAACAGCAAGGGAACTGCTGTTTCCTCATTCCTCACCCTGCCCTCGATTCCAGCATACTTGAGCCTTCACAGGGAAAAGGGGAAATTAAAAATATACTTTTCTGAAACAAACAAGAATTGCAGATCGTTTGATAGCATGGAATGAAAATCCTTCTCTTCAGCAGCAATCTACATAAGAACATAACATAAGAGAAGCCAATGTTGGATCAGGCCAATGGCCCATCTAGTCCAACACACTGTCACACAATGGCCAAAAATACCAGGTGCCATCAGGAGGTCCAGCAGTGGGGCCAGGACACTAGAAGCCCTCCCACTGTTGACTCCCCCAAGCACCAAGTATACAGAGCATCACTTGCCCCTGACTGAGAGTTCCTGTCTATACCTTGTGGCTAATAGCCACTGATGGACCTGCTCCTTATCTATATATCTAATAGCGAAGGCGCCCCCTGTGTGCGGATATCTAAATCCGCACATCGGGGGCAGGGAGATTTTTCTGCACACTTTAGGCAGTCCCGAGGTGTGCACAAAAATCTAAAAAGTTGGGAAAAAATATAGGAGAGATATTTAAATCCCCCCAAAAGTAAAAGAGCATTTCCTGCGCATGCGCAGGGAACACACTGGGAACTCTGCGGTGGGCCGGTGGCTCAAAACCACTCAAGCCTCGCCACCAGAGCCGAGGCGGGGGGAGAGGAGGAGATCGGTCACCGGAGCCGGAGGAGGAGGGAAGGAGATAGGAAGGGGGGGAGAAATTGGCAGGGCCTGGCAGCTGGAAGCCTCTCAGGCCGCACTGCCGGAGCCGAGGCGGGGAGGGGGGAAAGGAGACCGGTGGAGGGTGAAGAAGGTGTGTGGGGGGAGAGATTGGCGGGGCCCGGCAGCTGGAAGCCACTCAGGCCATTCCACCGGTGTCTGGGGACGGGGAAGAGGGCTTACCTCCTGCTGCTGCCTCCTCCTCCTGCTCTGTGTGGAGCTCTTCTCCCCCCCCCCCCGCGAGTATCGCAGGTCCCCTTTCTTGTGCTTATCTAATTTCCTCTTGAAGCTGTCCATGCTTGTAGCCGCCACCACCTCCTGTGGCAGTGAATTCCAGACTGCTAACTACTCTGTGATCAGTGTTCCTTGTGGGGAATATTCTCTCTCCTACTGTACTGTTTCCTTCAAAGCTAAAGATCTTGACACAGTTTTCCAAAAATAAACCCCTTTGCATTAGGTATACAGCAAAAAAAATAGATTGCGGATTTAACTGTAAGAATATGGCTAGCATACCTAGTTCGCTGCACTGCTGTGGCCATAAGAGGCTAAGGCAAGAACTGAGGTCCTGCCATTTGACAGCAAAGGTTTATTTAGTCTAAATATAGATGGCATTCTGGAACATTGTCACCCTTGCATGACACATTTTTATGGTCTTGTATCAAGACCAAAGTTATCTTTCACTAGATTGGTCTTTTTAATCTGAGGTTGTTTAATCTTTTCGTGTATAGTAAGGTATTAACCTACCAATTTTCTTCCTTCAACCAAAGAATGACACTGAGAAGAAGTTCTAATCTTGGACGTAATGCTGGCAATCACATTTTACACCCATTGCACAAAAGACTTTTGAAGGGATCGGAACCTTTTCCTCTGCTACAGTAGACCAAGGAAAGATCAAAAGGATGGCCTGACTTCATTATCTGTCTGCTATTTCCTTGTGTTATAAGCTGTCAAAACAGTCTTTATATACATATTCTACATGAACAATAAGGAGAGAAAGATAAAAACTGGTAACAGTGGTCTCCTAAAACCTGTGTCCTTTCTTCTCTAGGTTCTTAGCCATATGCCAGTCTAGTCTAATTCTCTGACATCAAAGAAATAAATGGGTCATGAACGGGGGAACTGAGAAAAGGTGATGGATCAGAGTAAGAGGAGAAAACAGGAGCTTACAGGGCAGTAGTTTTGAAGTCAAAAGTTTGCATAAAAAGAATTTGCATGAAAAGATGCTGAACTTTTATGTGGAATTTGACTAAAATATAATCTGTGCCATTTGTCCTTAAGTTGTTGTTTTTGTTTAAACAGGTGCTAAGGATTCCACAAGATACAGCTTTCCTTCCACTTCTGAACATTCAGAATCAGCAGTTGGATCACCAACTTCAATCTGGGGAAGGCTTACTCTGACAAACTATTTGATATGTATATAAGAGCCTCAATACGTTTTTTTATTCATGGTAGAAGATTGTGGTTGGACCAAACACTACCTTATTTAGATGTGCATTTTGTGTAACACTGAGGAGAGTGATCCCTTCAAGATATTTTCTAGTTCTTCACTCACTTTTTACATTTGTGTGATACACATTTAAGTAGCAAGTATTGTAACAAAGCTTCTTCCTAAGTTTAGTTACCAGGACAGGTATGAAAACCAGCCCTTTGGTTCACTGAAGACTTTGTTTAAGAAACAGGTTACTACATTCACATCAGCTTCTTACACAGCAGCACAATTATCTAAAGTTTATCACTGTATTTTTCATGGAGGAGGTGGATTTCAGAGATATTATGCATTTGTCAATTACTCCAAAGTGCAAGGTAGTTTGAAAATGAGAGCAGATGGCTAAGTATCATTAAGAGTGGAAGGCATGTATGTAAGAACGTATTTGTTTACAGCCTAGTACATTTAAAAATGGTATATATTAGAACCCTTTAGAAAGACATGTATACTGTACACATCTTATATTTTTAAATTAGATTTTTTCCCTTGCTCTTATGAATAACAATGTTTTAACTTCAGGGCTGAGTTATAATAAAGTTACATAAATTTTTATTTATAGAAGCAATATTTTGTAATGACAATAATTATAATTATTTTTGTCTATTAGTTTGCCTGTCTTTGATTAATCTAAGAAACCTTTATTTAAAGAGAATGCAAAACTGAAATAATATTTTACTTTTGTGGGATTTGTAATTTTTTTCAGTTTTGTTGTTCCCTTTTAATTGTTGGACAGATCTGAGTTATATAACAGTCTGCTTATTTGAAAATACTCTTTTCTTTTAACCCTGGTTGTATAATGGTCTAATTGAGGCACAGCCTCCAGTACAGTGAATATCTAAAGCAACCTAATCCCAAACAGCGTGACTCATAGCTGCAGGCAGCTAGTTTTATACTAACAGAGTACTGAACAGTATTTCTGCACCAGGGCTGATTTTGCCCATTTTAAAATTCTGTGTTGGATGGGAATCTCCACTGTAGGAGAATCTTGAGCTTACCCAGCTTTTTATTTAACAACAAAGTTTGATGTTTACTGAGCTTGAGAAACTACAATCCCTTATTTTAGAAAAACATGATTTGCTGTATTCATTCACTGTCCTGTTACAAGCAGATTCCATGAGTTTGTGTATTGGAAATAATGCATATAATAATTCCTCTTACTTGTATACAAAGAGGTTAAACCTTTTTCCTTTTAAAAATAGTTGGGGAGCCAATAACTATTGGCAATAAGTTATGTAACTCAATGCACCTCAGCTTTTGGAAACATTGGGATCACCTTGATCATTAAAGATCATAATATCAGATATTTTAATGGAACACCTGCCATTCTGTACCTGGCAGGTCTACTTTTGAAGCTTGTTGCCTTATATAGTGCAAAATGCTGTCCTTTTTCAGAAGGTAAACTTGAGAGCTGCATGAATTCCGTTAATATGGGAGCACCTTCTGTTGAGAAGACAAAGGTCTGCTGTGTGTTGAACATTAATTTGTGGGAAACAGACAACCCACCTTTCCTCCCAAATTACTGCATCTTAACCAAAATTGCATTATACAGTGCATAGTTAAAATCCCAGGTAATGCAGGGTTCAGTGGCAATAAATCAATAGCTGACAAATATATCTGTAAACCTTTAGAATAGACCATAATGTCTGTAGTCTGTGTGCTTTCGCTGTTGGTCACCCACTCTCCAAATTTCCACTGTATAACACATTATGTTTAAATTTTTTAGCCGTAGTACAAAACATGAACTTCTAAAGTTAAGATTATGTAGATCATGTAACGCTTCACACTA